ACCCCACAGCCACCACAAACCCACCCCCCTCTGCCCCTTCCAACTTTCCACCAACCGTTAGACCGGACAACAGGAATGTTCTGGAGCAAACTGCTGCTAATGACTTCCGACCGGATGGCCTCCCGAGAAAGCCCACATTAACATACAGGATATATCTTTCCACTTGAACCCCCTTATTCCCTTAGTCTTTTCTTAAAAATTGTGGTTATATCTTTCACCCGTCCCCACATTTTGGAATAATTCGCCGAAAATTTTTCGTATCCTCAGTGAGCGGGGGTGGGGATCGGGCTCGCTCGTTACGGTCGATCTTCTGTACGTACAGAGAGCTGAGTGATAGCTCCTTTCTTTCAATTATAGGGGATTCGAGGATGGCAATCGCGAGGGGAGAGAGGAGGGTGGGAAGATGGGAGGATGGGAGGGGGGAGGAGAGAAAGGAGAGAGAAGGGTGGGAGGGTGGGAGTGGGGAGGGGAGAGAGGAGAGAGGAGGGTGGAAGGATGGGAGGTGGGAGGGGAGAGAGGAGAGAAAAGCTTTGGACGATGGGAGGATGGGAGGGAGAATGTTTCAAGTGGTCTGTTGAGTAAAGTGTCCGGGTCTGTCCTCCCCAGGAATGTTTGAGTGTTACCGTATTTGTTCTTGTTGTTATTTCTACTTGTTTGGGTTTTTTTTAATGACGCAGAGGTGGGTGAAGAGGGCATTAACAATGAGATAGTTGTTGCTCATAACGAAAGCATTGTAAAGCACTTTAAAAGAAGCATCGAAACTTGGGTATATGTCAAGTATTTAGAAAAAAAATTCAAGTTGTGAGACGACATGCGTCAAAAGAGCTGGGGCGGGGCTGGGGGATAATAGAAAAGCAGCCGTTTGTATAATATTATAAACCTGTAAGATAGGAATATTTCCTGTTTTTGTTTTTTAATCTGGATGGATATTAGCCCTCTTGTTTAATTTGTTTCTTGAGAATCTCGGTCTTTCTGCTGGGATGTTGTATCCCTCTCAGCCTCTGTTAGCCCTGACAGACATGGTCGAAGCCCGCTTCCTAAACGATTTAAATTGTGTCGATGGGGGCGCATATAGATTCTTCCTCATCATCATGCTGCTCGCTCATCAGACAAATTATAAAATAGAAGCATAAGTTATATACAATTATTTAATTCACTTGTCATTTATCAGGAAATCTCATTTGTGCGTGATCTAAAGTTTTGCAACTAAAAAGAATCACTGGACAGCTCTGTCCCAGGCAACATACGTAAGTAAAATAGTAATAATATGTGGTAGAAGTGGGAATGTTGTGAACACTCCCATTTTCCGCATATATATATATATATATATATATATATATATATATATATATATATATATATATATATATATATATATGAGAAAATATGATTTAATTGAGATAAATTGATACAAATAGCGGTGTAAAGTATGGGTGACATTGCTCCACCCGACACAGAGATATTAGAGGATAAATCGAGCCACGAGTTGTTTTTACCGCGTGTTACGAGCGTAGGACAACACCAAAGTTAAGTCACTTGCGAGTGATTTCGATTAAATGAGCAAGAAAACTGTTGTTTGTTTGGGTTTTTTTAACAAAGAGCTTTTTTTCTTGAAGTTGGTTAAGATTGCGTCAGAGACGGAAAATGAAAATATAATATTATCCTTAGTTGTACTGGAGACAAAAAAACCCCAGCAATGATATTATGTCTAACCATTCCGGTTTACATTTTTACCAGCAACAGTCAACCATTGTTCTGTCCAACTTCCTGTGTGCTTGACAAACGTTAACACTAACGGTTTTTTGCGTCCCATCTTCTGTCTGTGTCTGTCTGTCTGTCTGTCTGTCTGTCTGCCTGCCTGCCTGCCTGCCTGCCTGCCTGTCTGTCTGTCTGTCTGTCTGTCTGTCTGTCTGTCTGTCTGTCTGTCTCTGGTCGTATCTCTCTCTCTCTCTCTCTCTCTCTCTCTCTCTCTCTCTCTCTCTCTCTCTCTCTCTCTCTGTGTGTGTGTATGTGTGTGTGTGTGTGTGTGTGT